CTATGCACTTTGAAAACTTACACAATCTTTATGACTGGGTAATATTCCACTGTGTATATGTACCACATTTTTTTATCCAGTCCTTTTTGATGGGCAAATTATAAACTTCACAGCAACTTGGGTAAATTTAGAGTCTATAATACTCAGTGATCTATCACAGAAATAAAGAACTGAGTACCACATGTTCTCACTCATAAATGGACCCTGTACAATTATCATAATACTATATGAAAGAGATAAGCAATAGTAGAAAATTGCCAGGGGAGGGAGGGGGGCACACTTCATCAATAAGGGCACCCAATTTCAAACCAGGTGAAGTAGGGACTAGAAGGAGGCTCAAACTTTACCTGTACAATGACCACTTGTATACCTAATCCCGAATTGTATACAATTAAAAAATTTAAAATAAAAAACTCAGAATAGCCAGTTGCAGTTAGGACCAGGGACAAGAAATTTAAACAATCACATATCCATGGCAACAGGGCATCATAAATCTTTCAGAACGAATTCACAATCCACATTGTGAGGTCCAACTGCTGCTGAACAGACTAGTGCATATACACACTGTGGAAGGTGGAATCATCCCTCCTTAGTTTTGTCATCAAAGCATGACATGGAGATTCAGAAATGGAGGAGTGAAAAGAGATGAGGGAGTGAAGCAAATCTTTATTATTATTTTTTAATTGGAGTACTTTTAATCTTGTTTTTGCAAGAACAGGTGACTCTCAGGTAAGCAGGCACACTGAGGCAGTCACAGACAGTGTATTTATGCCTCGAAAGTGCAAGTCCTTCCCCTGGTTTCCCATCGGCAGAGTACTTCAGAGATTGCATCATTTTCCCAGACATCGCCTAAGCAATAATTTTATGCAATTAAGGTAAAACACAAGCAGTTTCTACACAAATAAGGTAAAATACATGTTTCCAAATTCTCATTGGGTATCAATGCCCACCAAAGGAAGCCTGCCAAAAGAGAAAGCCTGCTAAGAAGGGAGGAAGAATGAGGAAGTGAAATAACAAATTGCCATTTCGAAAATGAATCACCATTTTGTTTCTTATACATACAAAAAAATAACATTTATGTGTTTTACTTCAAAACCTCAATTTCAATCCACACATTATTTTACTGTTTCTAGAAACGAGTTTTAGGAGGGGAAATGGTATACCCCCAAATATAGTCAATAGTGAGAATTTTAAGTTGAAGAGAGGCAAAACTGACATATTGAGAACAATCAGGTTTCATTCTTGATTTAAAATATCATTCCCAGACACTTGTACCATTCTTGAGTCATCAAGTATGTCTAGACCCAATAAGTAAACTTAGTTCAGAAATATAAAAGGATGGCATTAACAGATTTTCACAGTTATAAAAAGTTCTATTTCTCTAAGAATATTGTCATACTACATTTTTCCTCTCATAAATTACTGCGTACTTAGTGTAAAAAACAAAAAGGTAATTCATTTTCAAAATGGCAATTTGTTATTTCACTTCCTGGTTCTTCCTTCTTTCCCAGCAGGCTTTCTCTTTTGGCAGACTTCCTTTAAGGAGCATTGAAACACAATCAGAATTTAGAAACATGTGTTTTACCTTATTTGTGTAAAAACTGCTTGTGTTTTACCTTACTTGTACAAAATTATTGCTTAGGCGATGTCTGGGGGAGTAGCGTAACCTCTGAAGTACTCAACCAATGGGGAATCGGGGGAGAGATGTGTGCTTTAGGGCACAAATGCACTGGCTGTAATTGTCTCACTGTGCCTGCTCACCCAAGAAGTACCCATTCTTGCAAGAATGGCATTTTAAAAGCTGCTTCACTCCCCTGATCTCTTAATCTCCGCATCGTGCTTTAACAAGAAAACTGAGGAAGGTCAATTCCACCTCCCACAGCATGGGGGCTCATTTGGGACACATGCAACTGCAGAACCGAACCCACATCAGAGAAAGAAATGCGCTTTGGGAGGCTGCGGTGAGTGGATTGCCTGAGCCCACGGGTTCGAGACCCACCTGGGCAGGTGAGACCTCATCTCTACAATAAATCAAAAAAACATATTAGCCGGGCGTGGTAGCGCAGGCCTGTAGTTCCAGCTACTGGAAGGCTGAAGCAGAAGGATCGCTGGAGCCCAGCAGGTCGAGGCTGCGGTGGCCGGGAGCGGTCACTGCACTCCAGTCTGGGCGACTGGGTGAGACACCAACTAAAAAAATAAATAAATAAATAAAAATGTGTCCCACCCAGTTTTAGCTAGCTCACTCTGACTGGGTAATCCTGGTTCTGCTGCTCTGCAGACAAACCTAAAACCATTATCTAAAACTCAGCAAAAAAATGCTGAACAGGCAGGCACTACCTGCAGCAACCTGGTTACCTCGTACACAAGCCAAGGTAAAAAAATAAAATAAACTATAAGTACTCCCTTGGGGGTCAGGATGCTTCTTGAATGTTAAGTGTATGTGGCTAAAACATATCTCAAAATGCAAAGTAAGTCCTGATGTTTGCAAGAAACCTCCAGGAAGAAAGTTAAGCACTTTAGGGTCCTAATGCTTGCAAAAAACCTCCAATAAGGGAGGGGGGTTAAGAACTTTAGGAAAAACTCAAAATCCTAACACTTACAAAAAACCTCCAGTAAAGGTGTTAAGCACTTTAGGAAGAAACTACACAAACACCTGATAACCAAAGGGGGTAATAATCAGTCTAGGCCTAGAAAGGGAAGTCAAAAGCAACCCCTTGAAATTCCCCCAAAGAGTTCATTGGGGCTAATTTTTGATTCTATGTAGGGACAAGGTCTCGGTATGCTGTCCAGGTTTGTCTTGAACTCCTGGGTTCAAGTGAGCCTTCCTCCTTTGTCTCCAAAATGCAAGTATTCCAGACATGAGCCACTGTGCCTTGCCAAGTTTTCTTTTTTTCAAAAGAAGTTTTCGGCAAATCAAGCTTTTGAAAATAAATGTATATTTGATAACTAGAAAATTAGTCATCAAAGGAGGAGAGAAAACAGACTGGTGTTGACCCCTTAGATTGTGCAGTGACTGTGCAGTTGGCAAAGGGCACTTCAGTGGTTCAAGGCAGCGCTACTTGGGATAACTTGGGTGCTGAAAATTAAAGGTAGCATAAGGTAGGCTCTCTAACTCAAGGAGCTTATAGCCCATAAGGGAAGAAATGACAAAAACACAAACACAAAGGGCCACACTTTAGACAGCAGCCAAGTTCTAAAACCCAGATGACTATTTGGCTTGTATTTCTAGCTCATGTTGTGTGAAAAAAGATCATTATTTGAATATTAGAATCATGTCTTGCTTACCCTAAGATAGGATACGGGAAGAGAACTTGACTGAGGGAGGAGAGGGTGTAGGGCCCATCTCATGCTCCTTTTCATATGTGATCAGGTGAGCAGTGTCACTGGAATCCTTTCCTCTTTGTTTCTCTTCCCAATTAAACACACTGGCGAATTTATCAATGTCTAGCATACATTAGACAACTTTCCTCAATAATACTAAACAATGTAAGAAATGGAGGTTCCTACAGAGTATCAAGGGGACACATGGAGAGAGACATGAGATCCACGGAGGCAAGATCTCTAAGCTTCAGGGAGGATGTCTGAACTTGGCATTGAAGAATGGATCCCATTTAGAGAGTAAGATAGGGCGACGTCAGGATTAACCGGAATAATGGATTTAAAATACTTAGCCACATCATGGCGCACAAAACGTACTTAGCAAATATTCGTTATAATGGTTGAGAAAATAACACTGCATTACCTAAATGAGGTGTCATTGTCCGAAAACACATATGATTGGTTCCCAGAAGCATTATTTGGAGGGATTGTCTAAATAGTGCAAATCAACGCAACAAAAATCTCGGACCACTCGAACGGCAAGTTGTCTGTCCCATCAGGGCCAGCACAGACGGGCCACGCCTCCACCGCGAAGGCCCCGCCCCAGCGGGCAAGTCCCCGCCCACCAGCGGCTTCCAATCCCCGTCCTGACGCGCCTGCGCCCTCGGCCCCGCCCCGACGCGCTTGCGTAGGGCGGGCCTCGCCGGCCGCAACCTTGAGCGTATTGGTGCGGCGCTGCTCCTGGCTCCGGGTGCTGGGGTCGGGCCTGGGGGTCTAGTCGCCCGTGGCGGACGCTGTCAGGGCTGTCAGGCTCCCGGACGGGGAGGGCTGCCGGGACGCCCGAGGCCGCGAGAAGCCGCCCTGGCCCGTACTCTTCTTTGGCACCGACCGGTTCGTCCGCGAGGCGCTGCGCGCGCTGCTCGCGACCAGGTACCCGCGAGAGAGGGGCCGGGGGCGCGTCCCAGACCCTGCGGCTCTCCTCGCCTGTGGGGCCTGGCCACGCGCTGCCTGTCGGGTCCTCCCGCGCCCAGGCCTCGCGGGAATGAACCGAGACTGGGCAACCGGGCCCGCCCGCCCCTGCGGCTCTGCGTGCGGGGAAGCGGGGGTCCAGGGAGGTGGCGTGGTTGCCCGAGGTCATCCGCTGAGCTGGGTGGGCTGCGGCCGGGCCTGACTTCCAAGTCCCCCTTTCCACTCGCTCCTGCTGCCTCCCATCCACTTCGCGTGCACGCTGCGGTCGCTTCGGCCGGTCCTACCGGGCACGACCGTTGTGCACACTCGTGTCTCGCCCCTCGCCCCCCTCGCCCTGTTTGAACACAACACGACCCTGTTTTCAGGGGGCTGAAACGAGGACATAGTCCAGAAACAAACTGTTTTCAAATGGTTGAATGTATACATCAGAATTCTTAGGTATACATTTAGTATTTATAAAAATGTTTAGCAAATCTTGTTTACCGGGAAAAACATTTGAAATCCAGTGTCTTGAAAGTCTGCAGTACGTGGTGGCAACACCATATGTACTTCTCTGCCTCTTATCCCGGTTTGTATTTTTTATTTCTCCATTCCGGTTTCTTTTCCGATGCACTCCACCCCTACTCATTTGTATCATCTCCATCTCCTCTTCCCCACAAATATTTCACAGCAGCCTCTCATATATGAATCCTTCATCAATCCTCTGAGTCGTATTTTCTCTGTACACTTCTCTGTACACACCCGAAAGGAAATGTCCTTTGGGCCGTGTTCCTTTTGCACACCGTTTTTGTGCTGCTGTTTCCCAGGTTGTCACATGCATCTCTTGCTGCATATGTCCCCACACTTCTGATGCTTCAGAAGCCCCATGACTTCTGTGCTTTCTTTTTTTCTTTTTTTTTTTTTCTTTTCTTTTTTTTGAGTTGGAGTCTCACTCTGTCGCCCAGACTGGAGTGCAGTGGCCGCTCCCGGCCACCACAACCTCGCCTGCTGGGCTCAGGCGATCCTTCCGCCTCAGCCTTCCAAGTAGCTGGAATTACAGGCATGCGCTACCACGCCCTGCTGATTTTTTGATTTATTGTAGAGATGAGGTCTCGCTGCCCAGGTGGGTCTCGAACCCGCGGGCTCAGGCAATCCACTCACTTCAGCCCCCCAAAGGCGCAGGATTACAGGCTTGTGCTTTCTTTTTGGTACCCAGCAGGTGTCTTTTCTCTTAACCCCTCAGGTGTGCATGCAGTACCTGTTTAATAAATACATGCACCATCCCCTGGGCACTGGAATACTATGTAGCAGGTAAAAAGAATGAGATTGTGCTACATATACTGCCATGGAATAATGCCCATGGGATATATTTTTGTTTCTTTTGAAAAGTACTGTTGGGCACATGCTTGTGGTACAAAATTTCATAGATTCAGAGGATATGCATTGAAAAGTTGTTCCCTTCCACGTGTTTCCCAGTTCTCTCTCCAGAGAGAGCCACTGTTTTCAGTTTCTTCTAGGAATGTTTAACATACATATACAAGCATATATATTTAACCCATTTTTCAGAAGACACACATACTAGCATATATAGCAATGTCAAGAGGAAAAAAATGCAGAACAGTGTATATAATATCACAACGGTGTAAAATACCGCAGGTGTGCACAGAAAATCTCTAAAATGATGGTAGCTACTAGTGACATGTGGCTCTTTAAATCTAAAATGATTAGAGTTAAATAGAAAGGAAAACTCAGACTCTTGGTCATACCAGTTTTAATCATTTAGCTCTAAGTGCTTCATGAGTTTAATCATAAACATACCTTAGTGGTGTGTATAGTTTACCTTTGAGTCATTGCCTTAACACTGTCCTATTTTTCTTCACATCTTTCTAACTTAGGGAAAACAAAGAGGAAGACTTCACTGAAAAACTGAAAGTGGTCACAGTGCCTTCCCCGTCACCAAAAGGACTGCCAGTGAAGCAATACGCTGTTCAGTCTCAGCTTCCAGTCTATGTGTGGCCGGATGTGGGATCTGGGGAATATGATGTTGGAGTCGTAGCTTCGTTTGACCAACTGTTGGGTGAGGCTCTTATTCTTAAATTTCCCTAATAAGATTTTTCACAAGGAAATACAATATAGAAACCTTGATCTTTAGAAATGGACCTTGTATCAGGCCTGTAATGTGTTCATTTATGAATGGACCTAAAATATTGTAATTTGAACTCTCTGCTTTCTAAGGAGTATTTTGTTTGTGGCATGAATTGTCAAAATGTGTTTAACCCCTTTTCACTCTATGAGCTTTCATCCACCTTCGTTTAAATTCCTTGTATGTGCTGACATTTCCCAAATGTACCTCTTCAGCTCAGCATTCTCTCCAAACCCCAGGCCCCTCATACCTAGGCACCTTATATTTAAGATGCTCAAAAGATCTTCTCCCAAAATCTTTGTCTCAATAAATGTCAACTCCATCCATCTTGTTGCTTGGGCCACAAATCCTGGAGTCATTCTTGATTTCTTATCTCATTCTCCACATCCATGCCTTCAGGATCTGTGTAGAGTCTAGTCTGGCTGAATCTCATTACTTCCACTGCTGCCCCTCTCGCCATGCCTCCCAAGTGGTCTCTAGTTCTGTCTTTGGCCTTTCTCAGTCTTTTATCAACCCAGCAGGCAAAGTGATCCTTTAAAATTTTTTAAAATTAATTTAATTTTTTTTTTTTAGGATCTTGCTCTGTCACCCAGGCTGGAGTACAGTGGTGTGATCATAGCTCACTGTAGCCTCAAACTCCTGGGCTCAAGTGATCCTCCCACCTCAGCCTCCCAAGCATCTTTCCAAGTAACACCAAATTAGTAGCCAAGGATAAACTATCAATTTTTTTTTTAAAAGAGACAAGATCTTGCTATGTTGCCCAGGCTAGTCTCAATCTCCAGGACTACAGGTGCACACCAACATGCCTGGCTGATTTTTTGTGTGTTTTTTTGTAGAGAAGGGATTTCACTATGTTGCCCAAGCTGGTCTCAAACTCCTTGGCCGCCCAAAGTGATGGGATTACAAACGTGAGTCACTGTGCCCAGCAAGGGAATATTTGTTGATGAATGTGATTAGGGAATGGTGAGACTTAAAAGACTTTCTCACATATATGTGCTCTCAAGTGTGGACTCCTGCTGAGTGAGATACCATTAAACTAATGACAGTTTAGTAAAGTATTCAAATTGCTCATCAGTGGATGACAGGGATTTTGGCATAAACAGCAGAGGTGAACAGATTATTTGATGGGGATTCAAGAGGTGTATTTTAGGCATTCTATATATAAACCAAGCGAAATGATGGTAATTATGTGTCTAAACTATAAATATAATTTGAATTGTTCATGAGATGCATAATAGAGTTTGAGTGGTTCTTCTCTTACAGTAATACATGCTTTTAAAAATTTTACCTAAAAACGTCCAGACTTCATGAGCTGTTGTGAGACATCTTTGGAAAAATGAATATTTTTAAGTTTCATTGGCTTTCTATGGTAAGAGAATGAACTTAAACTCTGGTTTGCTTTTTTTTAGGTGATACAAGACTAGTTTTAACTGTCAGTTTTTCAAAATTTCTGGGAAAGTCTATTAATGAAAAGTAGCATAGTAGTTTAAATAGTGGTAAGCAAGTGGTAAATTCCCTTGACCTACTAATTTCTATGTTTTCCAACTCAGTGGCGTACTGAACGTCCATCCTAGTTGCCTCCCGAGGTGGCGTGGTCCAGCCCCTATAATTTATACGGTTCTTCATGGAGACACCATCACTGGACTATGCAGATTAGACCTAAAAGGTTGAGCGTATTTTCCTTTCTTAATATTTTTGTGATGTTGGATGCTGATGTCAGTCTGTTTGGGGGGAGTAGATGAATGGATGGCGCTCACTAATTTCTGTGATTGCAGAGTGCCTTTGCTTTCATGTCCTTTCTGTTTCTAACATAAGCTACATGTCTTTTGTTATTTATGTAGTGTCTCTTTAAAGTTCATATGAAAATTTTAATGTTTATTGAAATGTATTATTAACACCTAGATTCTCTAAAAGATATTGTGTAAATGAGAGATGGATTCTTGTATGTTAGTTGTTTTCACTCTTGGTTCTGCTGCTTTGGTTTCTAAATTATGGTAAAAAAAAATTTTGGATCCTGAAGTAAATATATATTTTGTATCAATATGTAATGTAATTGTCCTAAACATTTATTTTCTTCTGTCATGCCTACAATCTAGAAATAATTTTTAAAAATGACTTGAGTTTATTCAACCTCTGCCTGCTACCACCTAATTTCCCCATGGGAAAAAATAATTTACAATTTCACAAAAATAACTGGATATCTGGGATTTGCTTTAACT